CTGTTCGTAGTGTGAATTAAAACACGCACTGGTTAATTAACGAACTAAACTATTTATTTAATAACTTAACTACACTTAAAACACTATAAAACTAACTAAACACTTAACTACTAATTATTTATATCACTACTAGTTAATTTATTTGCACTTATATTTATTTATTCCTTCGCGCGTACCAAAGCTCAACTGACTGCCCTGTGCTGCTCCGTTTCTTATATATTTAGCGCCCAAGTCTTCTGGAACATTCCAGCGAGCTCCACACTCTCGATTATTCGAGCGCTGAGTCACCGGCGATGACTCACCGGCGATGACTAACCGGCGATGAGTCATCACTCCGATATCCAGAGCGGTACTCGCTACAATATTAACAAAAATGGTCGGCCCACCGTATATTAAACTTTGAGTTAGAAATTATTACAATCAATAATTTCTTTAAAATTTGACAGTAAAAACAATATAAATGCATTAATATTAACTGAATTATTTATCTATTTTTGTAGAAATAGTATATTATTATACAAGAGATAATGCGCATAATCTAGAGTGTAATACCATACTTTATCTACTGCAATAAGAATATAATTAAATGATTTTTAAAGTTAAATAAATAAAATCTCACATCTGTTAACCTTACTTTTTACCAATTTTAAATCATTACAGTCGCCTTCTTCTTATTAAAAATCAGATTGGTTTAAACCACATTTAACATTAAAATCGGCCAATCACTGATGCCTAACAACTTAAATAATGAGTTTTATTATATACAGAAAAAACACAATATTATGCAATAGGAGTAGATAATAGTGTATCAAGTTTGATAAACGCCATTTTATATACGAATTTAATTTAATTTTAAATTAATGAGTGTATAGAAAAGTTTATAAACGCTGTGCATACTATACTTTTTATACGACAAATACTTATTATTATGTTAAAATGATTTAAATCAAATATTTTTATAGAGCGCCATCTATGAAACAATAGGGGAATCTGTTTGTCACCGTCAAATGTCAAATTTTTATATTTTATAAATACAGATTCGATGTATTCTTTGAACAGTTTTGGACAGTTTTTCACAGTGAAAGTAAAGAAAATGTTTTATGAGTACTTTACAGTGGAGTCCGTGCCCGAATTTAAGTTAAAGTTACCAAATGGAGTGGTAAAATCATTTGGTGTTAATATATACACTAAAATTGGTCAAATATTAAGTGTTTAATCTAGTGTTAATTTAAAGAAAAACTCGACGCGGTGTACATTTGACACTATTATGTGTTGGCAGCTACACAAATTGTGGTAAAAATTCACTTAGTCATCACAACACGTAACACCTACCTGTGTAGTAAATTACACCAAATTGAGCATTTTCTACTCTTGAATAGAGTTCTTTTACCAATAGTGCGTGTTGCTTTTACCCCTAAGAGTGTAATATATTTGATGATTTTTACACTGTTACGAGTTTTTTGTACGAATGGTGGGTGTAGATTATTAACCAATTAAAAAGGGTAAAATTTACCAAATTGTATATGGTTAGATATACCATTTCTAATGTGGACCTATATAGACCACTTTTGGTGTTGTTTTTTACCAGAAATTTATACTGTGTAAAAGGTCAGTACAATGTTTATATAAACTTTTCAAATATTGGCGTTGAGAAACTATTTAATACTTTTGTATTTTTGTATTGAGATAATAAAATAATTTTCACATTTACTATTATTTTACAAGAAAGGCACTTTATTTTAACGATTGTATGACATTTGACAACTGTCAACTAACTTAAAACTAACTTCAGCCCGTAACTAAAGCGCCATAAAGCCACAACTTGTCAATGTGTATTTAAAAGGTCACTTAGTGTCATGGAAACATGTACGATAAAGGGCGTTTTAAAGGTGGGAGTAGAAACAATATATTATCTACTCTCTTAAAATGAATTAGTCAAAAATAACTAATTATAAGTCATATTTGACTAATTGTCATAGCGAAAAAGCAGTCACTAATAATTAGCCAAATTTTACTGAAAAAATAGTCAAATAAGTAGATTTAAATTTAAAAAAGTTTTGACCCAGCCGGGGATTGAACTCAGGTCTGTCAATTGTCAAGCTTGTCAAGCTGTTGTCAAATACATATATTTATATTTACAAATTAAAACAAATTTAAGTATACAGTAATGTTATTGACAAAGTTGCAATATTAGTTTATTTAATATTCCCTTCCATCTATTCTTCCGGGGAAGACGATGATCCAGGATAGAGACTTGGTACAAATTCAAAAAAAGGCAGAACGATTTATTAAAGTATTATAAACAAAATACAAAAAAAAATTAACATAAATGCTTAACAATTTTTTTTATTATCGTATTAAAAAGAGTGTCCTTTACTACATTCCGCCCCGCGTACGGGGCAGAATGGGGTCCAATCCAACCCTCAAATAAAGCTGAAAATGGGTATATACAATATATACATCGAAAAGTTATAAAACTAAACACAATTTCACCACGTTTAGTATATTTTTCTATTCCTATATACATTTTTCGACGCGGACGATGATAACATTTTATTTTCCATATTTCTCTGCCATAAACAAAAAATTATATTTCTTATAACTGTTATATTTATTCTTTATTTACATATGTTCTCTACTGTGCCGAAAGTAAAGTTTGTTAAATGTCAGTAAATCACAAATCATAACCTTGCGTAACCATTGTCACTTTCTGCTGCTACTGAGGCGCGTTCCAATTTTACTATTGCGTCAGTACTGAATAAATTACGGAACGATCTTCGTTACTGACAGTAAAATTACTGATAGTAATGGCAGTAAATTACGGAACACAACCATTATGGGAACAGACCTGTAATATTTTACGGGCTTGTATAAAAGACCTGTAAAGTTTTACAGGCTTGTAGAAAAGCAATTTTTGATATGAAATGTCACAGTTGACACATTTGTACGTATCACGCTTTGCAATTAATCTTTACTAGGCTCAGTGGACAAACTTCCAGCTCGCCCGTAAAGATTTATTTACAAAGCTTGACACGTAAATAACTATTATTGTGTGCGAACTTTTTAAAAATGAGGATTTTTAAGTAAAAAATTATTTTTTGTTAAAAACATTATTTTTAAATTAAATTACTTTAAAATTGTGTAAAATTTAATTTTTTGTTGTTTAATAAGAATCCATAACTTCATTAACAGTTACCCTTTCTAACCTGAGTTATTTCGCCCCCTTTCAGTTCTTCTAGGTATCCCGCCACTGCACAGCGAATTTTCACCCTGCTGGTAAATCTTGCCTAGGAGGTAGTGGATGACAGTGCCGATGGTTAAGGCCACTCCCGGGTCATACGCTCGATTTAGGCTAGTGGAGTGCGGGACTAAAAAGGAAACCATTTTGTTTTTTGAGGGACATAAACTGACCTAAAACTAAGTACAATCCGGAGTCCCCCTTAATCAGTGGTTTAGAAATAACCCCATTCAATTGGTGTTCATGAATGGGGCTTGGTTGGTTAATACGCTGCTATGACTTATTCTTGCTGATTTTGAAGTACTTCCTGTTCGTCTGTGCCCGTGTCTCTGTCCGAGTGGAATTTAGAGCTTGCTGACTTGCGATAACGTTGCACCTCACTGTGTTGTTTATTATTTCGCATAAAACGTATTACGTCTTTAAGGGGTTGGCCGCTTCAGTTGGTTCCGTAATTTATGGTCCATTTAAATGTGCTTAGTGATCTACAGATGTTTATTTCTTTGGTATGAGTTTCTTTTGCCCAGTGATTATCTGAACTTAAATGATTAATGACTGCTTATAATAGGCCTTGTTTATAAGTTCTTTGGCTATTCTTGGGAATTTCGTGGGTAATTTTGCATTAAAATTTAGTATTTTGGTATGATTAAGGTCATGGAATTTTGGTAATTTTACTTATCCTGTTTTACAGACTTGGAGTTCAGGTGCCTTGACAGGCAGGTGTGGTGAAATTATTTCTTAACTTCGACAGCCCACTGTTAGCACGGTATAACACTTTAAGAGTTAATCGAGAAGGAGATACCACACGCAATTTCCACCCTTTTTGCACTTGGTTCTGGTAGATCACGTGTAGAATTATTAATTGATTTTATGAATTTGAACACCGATAGCGGTGGTAGCACTGTGGAAATACGAGCACGTTAAACGAGACCCTAGACACACTATGGATTGCCTTGAGGTGCGGAGCGTCACCAGTTACCCTTCCTAACCTGGAGCAAACAAATATAGTTTGTCGCTCAGTGCTAAAGTTAATACTGTTTTTTGTACTTAAATTCTCATTTAAAATTTGTTTAATATAAACTTGGTTTAACTTCATTTTTCATTCCCAGTTACTTTAATAATAATAAAATAGTGACTTAAATTTTACAAAGCAAATTTTAAATAAAATCATAAAATAAATCTAATTTGGTGTGCTCGTTTTATCATTTTGTATTTTAGCTTAATTTTATTTAATTACGTCATGTACTCGTAATTAAAAATGGGTTAAACGAGTTTATTATTATTACCAGTTTATTATTGTCAAGGCGATAATGTTAAATTGCAGTGTTTATTGCAATATTAACACCTAACTTAAAATTATATTTCAATTTGTACGGCCCTTTTATTATCCATCATAAAATTGAAAATGTTCTACAATGTTACATTTCAGCGATAAATCCTGCAACTTTTATGAATTTTAAGTTAGAGCAGAGTTTAATTGCAGATTAAGTTTACTGTAAGCTGAGTTGCATTGTTATGATATATTATCAAAAATATTTACTCAAAAATAGTCTATATTTCAAATATCATATTTATGATAGGTTTCAAAACAAGGAAATATATAATATTTAAAACTGCTGCTTGTTTAAAATTATTTGTTACGACATGTTTATATTTAATTCATAAAGAATACAAAATGCTATATTTGAAATCAATTTTATATGTATCATTCCTGTAAAAAGTTTAAAATGGATGTTCGTTAAGAATAAATAAATTCTTATTTCAGGTTCGTCCGGGAAGCGACAGGATTTAACGTGGATATGAGAATCGGAATACACACCGGAAACGTATTGTGCGGCGTTCTAGGCTTAAGGAAATGGCAGTTCGATGTTTGGAGCGATGACGTTACACTTGCCAATCACATGGAGTCTGGAGGAATTGCAGGGTAAGCACAAATGATTTTTATTTGCTTTTAAAAATACCTACTTATTTGGTATTTTCCAAATTCGCCATTGAAATACTATCGTATCTAACAAAAAATACGTATTCCTTAAATACAGCTGTGTTTGATTTAAATAAATTAAAAACAACAAATTTAAAATTTTTACAATTATTTAAAATAAGTAAAACAAAATAAAATAATTCTTTACGATTTACTTAGTACACAGCAAAAAAAATCAAGTTAAATAATAATACGTTTTACGAAAAAAAAAACCGTGGATCGATTTGTTGTGTTGTTGGGTGTATTTCGAGAGGAAATCCTGGGTTGAGTTTTTACTGGTTTTCCAATAAACAGTGTTAATCTGAATGAAGAAATAAATTACATACAGTCTCTGTAAATATAAATTGTACCTATTAGATATAATAAATACACATTTTAGTAGTGATTAACGTATACGTTTTAAATTGAAAACATTTAAATTCAGTAAAAATCGTCAAACAAATAAGTCGTCTAAATTTAAACAGCATTTAGCATTAATAAAAGCGTTGATTAAGAAAGTCTCCACTCAACGGTAAAATACCATTATATCATGTATTATATATAAAGATGGGATATTTAGGTACTAAAAACTGAAAAATAGGTAACTAAAAAGGTACTAAAAAAGCATTTTAGGTTAAAAAAACAGCATTTTAGGTAAAAAAAAACATTAAAAGTTTAAGTTTCGTTTATTTTTATAAGTAACATACAATATTTTTTTTATAAACTGACCAATAGTTAATTAAAGCTATAAGGAACTGAAAATATAACAGGGAATACCTGATATTTAGCAAATTTACTACTAGAGTAACAAACAGATAGCTAAAATGTATATAAATTAAAGAAAGATCTTTTAACATAACCTCAAAGTCCTTACAACTTTACAGCAAACTCTACAAAATAAGTTTTTTCCGTCAATAGAAAATATCTTATTCTTCCCCTCTTTCCAACTGCTGAGTTTATTAAGAGGATTTTCTTTGGTTTTGGGCATTTTTTATAATTTTGTTTAGCCGCATACCCAAACACAACATACCCACAATAAACTATTTCTATGCAATAAACTGTGTTTCACTGAGTGACACTCACTACACAGAAGTTCTAAGACAGAACATAAGCTCACTACAAAGAAGGTAACTGCAAAGAAAGTTACTGCTACAGTCTGTGACCATAAAAAAAAAATTATACCGTTGAGGTGCACGCCCTGGATAAAATATTGGCGCAAAATTTAAAAAGAACACAAAAAAAATAAAAAGAACACAAAAAAAATAAGTAAAAAATTTTTACTAAAACTACGTAAAAATAGGTAACAAACAGGTGAAAATAAAATAACAAATTAAAAAATAGGTAACAAAAGTATAAAAAAGGTAGTTTAAAGCAAAAACCTCCAAAAAAGGTAAAAAAGGTGAAAACAAGGTAGGTTCATATAAAAGAAAATCTTTTAAAACACATTTTGGCATTATTGCAACCGATTTCAACCGATGTAACTATTTGAAAACCATGGTTTTCAAATAGTTACATCGGTTGAAAAAAGGTAAAATAACTAAAATCCCATCCCTAATTATATATAATATTATGTTGCCATGAATTCGTAGGTATAATTTGTTGTTTAAAATGCAGTTGTCAGAACTCAAATATAAAAATGATTGAATTTAGGTTGTTTGTGCAAAAATTATTTTTTACTAATTTCTTAAAAATGTTCAAACTTAAATATAAATTATAATAAGTAAAGTTATCATTAGTTAATTCTGCACCAACAAATGTACTTACCGAATTGGATCCTTTGGCAAAACATGAAAATGCAACGATTTAGTTCTTGAATTTTATTTACAATTAAAAACACAATAATTCACCATGATCCCTTTGATAAAATACACACACTAACGCAACTATATAAACATTTAAACGTTAAGTTTCTTAATCAATGCTATAAGGAATAATTAATCAAAATCGAGTACTAAAAAAGTTTTTTAATTTTTTCCTTGCAACGTAAAACACAAATAACGTGCTAAATCGCGCTGTCAAATTGAACAAAATTTGTCGAGTAAGACTTCTGCCTTCGTCTGTTTTGTAAAAAAACTACCTATTTATTTAAAAATGATGTATAATCGGTGCTTTAAATTTATTGTTCACAATTCTTAAATTCACGCAATGCATTCGAAGTCCACCAGATGGCGCGCGCGTTGCGGAAACCCGATAACCTTCTACAACTATCTGAAAATAAAAAAAAAACAATAATAGATGAATATTATACTAGCTTATTGGACCTATGGATAATAGAATCTAGGAAACATTTAGCAAAAAAAAATATATGTAAACTGCTCGTCATAAAAATCGACGCACCTAGTTTTTTGGATAATATTTGAAAGCTCGTTATTGGAAAATTACTGAATCGATTTTGAAAATCTTTGGAAATTCTGAATAGTTGATTCTTTGACTCTTATGTCTAATTTTGGAAATACGATATTGTGCACATAGCATGATACTACAGGGTGTTAAAAAAAGAGATGTTTTTTTCCAAAATTCCAAATCCCCATTTACAGGGCAGTTGAGTTTGATAGTCCTAATACTCCTCCCTAATAACAGTTAGGTAATCCCTCGGGACATTTTCTAGATTTTATGGATATCTTGGCTAACCACGATTGTACGGCAATTTTTCGAAAATTCACGTTATTCTTCATTTTAGTCAAAAAAATCAGCAATAGTTGATTTTTTACTCTAATTTTGGGAATACAATATTGCGCACAGCATGATACTACAGGGTGTTTAAAAAAAGATATTTTTTTCCAAAATTCCAAAATTCCAAATCCCCATTCACAGGGCAGATGAGCTTGATAGTCCTAATGCCCCTCCCTAATAACAGTTAGGTAATCCCTCGGGACGTTTTCGAGATTTTGTGGATATCTTGGCAAACTTAATCTTAATTCCGAGATAATGGCCGTCAAAGATTTTTGAATAATAAAATTCTCACATATTTGTAAAATTATTTTAACTTCCAGTATTTTCTTTGCAAAGGAAGAACCACACTAGATTCTGAGCCAGATAATAATTAGATTTTAGAAAAAACTCTTTTTGTATAAGTGCTATTTGTAGATATTTGTTGTCGAAGAAGGTGTGAATCAATTTTGGAGATATGTCTGTGTTGCTGAAAATATGTGTGTGAATTTTGCAGATATGTATACTAGGGTGTGCCAAAAAATCTCGATATTTTTTTTTCTTGCTCTCCACCCAAAATATCGTAGAATATGTCCGAACAAATATTCTGTTAAAAGCGGAGCTCATAATTTCAATTTTAAGAGGTCCCTCATCGAATCTGAAGTTTTGCCGCTTAAATAACACAGAAAACTGACTTTTTTACCTTATTTATTCTTGCAACCTAGGAAGATTTTTTTTTTTCGTAAAATCCATGACTAATTCTTACAAAGCATTAAATTTGGACAAAAAAATCTTATTAAGCCGAATTTCTATTTTCATTATTTAATTTTTTACATAGCTTTAAATTTAAAGATAATAATACAAAAATGATGACTTTATACGCCTGTAACTTTTAGAATATTGACGATATAAAAAATTCGCCTAAAACTTTTTTGTGGTCCATCAGACAAGCTAAAAAATTACCATTTGACTTTTTCGTCTAACTTCAATAGTTAAGCTGAAAAAGGCAAAAAACGTAAAATTTTAAATTTAAAGCTCTGTAAAAAATTAAATAATGAAAATAGAAATTCGGCTTAATAAGATTTTTTCGTCCAAGTTTAATGCTTTGTAAGATTTGGTCATGGATTTTATGAAAAAAAAATGTCTTCCTAGGTTGCAAGAATAAATAAGGTAAAAAGGTCAGTTTTCTGTGCTATTTAAGCGGCAAAACTTCAGATTCGATGAGGGACCTCTTAAAATTGAAATTATGAGCTCCGCTTTTAACAGAATATTTGTTCGGACATATTCTACGATATTTTGGGTGGAGAGCGGGAAAAAAACTATTTCGAGTTTTTTTGGCACACCCTAATGTATACAGTATGGCACCTCCTCCTGGATTAAGTCCCAAAGTACTCTACCTGTGAAAAAGACTGTGAGTGAGGTGATTGCATACAACGAATAATTTTTCCTGGATTACCAACACAGAAACAACACGTGCTCATAGTTGGCTGTCGAGGTTAAGGAAAAATTTCACAACACCTGCCTGTCAATGCACCTGAAGTCCAAGTCCGCATTAACCGGATAAGTAAACCTACCAAAATTGGATGACCTTAATAATACCCAATTACTAAATTTTAATGCGAAATTTGCAACCTAAACTTATAAAGAACCCCACCAGGTAAAGATTAATTATTTGCCAACAGTTTCCATAAGAATAGCAAGCATAGCCAAAGAACTCACAAATAGGGGCTCACATAAGCAGTAATTAAACACTCCAAGTTTAAATAATCACTAGGCAAAAGAAACTCATCCTAAATAAATAAACATCTAAGGATTACTAAGCACATTTAAGGGAACCATACATTACGTTCTATGCGAAATAATAAACAACCGCACAGTGGGGTGCAACGTTATCGTCAGCAAGCTCGGAATTCGACTCGGACAGAGACACGGACACATACGAACAGGAAGTACCAGCAAGGATAGGTCCTAGCAGCGTACTTACAAACCAAGCCCCATTCATAAATCCCTGGTTGAGGGGGACTTCAGATTGTACTTAGTTTTGGGTCACTTCAATGTCCCTCGAAAACCAAAATATTTTCCCTCCTTGTCCGCACTCAACTAGCCGACTAGGCGACAAAATTCCGGAAGTGGCCTTAACCATCGACACTGTCATTCACGAACTCCTAGGCGAGATTTACCAGCCGGGGTGAAAATTCTGATCCACCAAACACAGGCAATGCTGTGCAGTGGCGGGATACGTGGGAGAACTGAAAGGGGATAGAATAACCCTGGGAAATCAGTGTAAGGTCTTGCCGATGGGGCCAGTCATACGT